TTACAAGGATCAGTGTCCTGAGGTATATGGAATGGCACGAATGCTCTGAAGAGCTATCCATTGTGATGCACTGTAAACTTGCTATTTGTTCCAGTTCCTGCTCTTTGGAGAACAATGACTGCTTTCATGACTGGCCCTAAAATGTGTTTTTGAATATGTTTTTCTTTGGAGCGCGGGTGGTGGTGAGTAGGTTTTAAAGCATTTCCACACATTTGAATTTTAAGTTAGTATTTTAATATTTTCCTCCTCAGTGTATGTAAAGGCTTCACAGGCAGGGATGTACCTCTGGCTTCATCAATGTCAGCTTCTTGTCCTATATGAACAACATTCACGTGCACAGATCCAAAGAGCAGGAAAGAGAAAATGCTGTAAAAGGGTTCTGTGCTACGTGGAAAAGCTCTTGGCTAGGGTGACCATTTGGGTTTTTTTAATGGATCTGTTTTGCTTTCTGCAGAGCATCAGAAACATTCAGGAGTGAAGCATTCCAGACTTACTCTTATCATCACTTGTGCAAAATGTCTTCTGTCTTCAAGGCACAGATTCTTCATTTGTAATAAGGGTTTAGGAAGGATTTGTCTCTCAGAGTTGTTTGGCAGGACAAGATGACAAGGAATTCTGCATGTTGGAGTAAGAACTTTTCATAAATAAAGAACCATAACAAATAATGGAAGACGAAAGATGTCATTATTTTGTCTTCTCCCTATGTAGCATAATTTGCTTTTTTTCATTGTTTGCCAGGGAATTGTTAACATTTTTTTGTTGTTGTTGTATAGGAAGGTATACCAAATCCAAATGACAAGTTTACAAAAGAGAGTGGTGTGTTTGTCATAAAATGAATTATGACTTGTTTGCCTTACAAGTCCACAATATTCCTTATCTCATATGGCTAAGGCTCTTTATTGCTGTTCTTAATCACCATCTTTCGCCACAAGAAACAAGAACAGTTAGATCTGATCTCACAAATGGCTGGTTTTCTCACACATGCATGTGCCTCACTTGACTGCAATATCAAGAGATGACTGACACATGTGAATTGATTATTGCAGATGTATATCACATTACAATTAAAACTTCTGTGAAGCTTTCTGACATATTAATCTGTAAATCATAGTGAGTAGAAAAGCGGGTAATGTATGTAAACTAGCATATAGATTTATCTTCTTGAGCCAAAAACATGAATGTTGCTTGTGGCAAAAACCAATCTGCATGATATAGGTAAACAAAGGGTTTAAGGGTTAGGGTTGGGGTGGACTCAATTTGCACTATTTCTGGCAGTCTGCAAAGGCTGTTGGTTGATCTTTAGCCTGATATCCACTCAAAGTGTAATTTATCTTTCAATGCTGGGCCAAGATATTTTATGAGGACATATTTTAATTAATATTAATTTTTAAATATCAATAAATGATCTATATTAATATGAGAGCATTGGAAAATTCTACTCTATATAGATAGTTGGAATAAACAGGAACTCCTTGCTCTTGAGGAAATGTCATTAACTTCAGTGAGGTCTGCAGAGAGGAGAATTGAATTCCCATGGGTCTGATCTGCCTTTACACAACAAGAAGAAATATAAAAAGAGCTTTTACAAACACTGTCACACACATACAAAGCAGCTTCATTGATTTTTCTTTTTCTTCAGTGCATTTTGACATGAAAGTGATGGGAGGGGGACTGTGCATTACTCAAATGACAAAACAATTGGGAGACAGACACACACACACAAAGCTGTAATTCAATTAGATGAGGTCAGTTCAAGCTGCAAATGAGTGCTACTATAGGAAACTGTGCCCCAGACTATACAGGGCAATTTAATTTATTACATTTCTATTCTGGATGGTGTACAAAGTTTTCTGGATAGCTCATAAAATAAAAATTAAAGCCATGCAGTATAAAAAAAATAAAATCAAAATTAAATAGTTTTAAAACAGCAAAATTAAACCAATATGAAATATCCACAGAGAGCCAGCATGATGCAGTGGTTTGAGCATTGGACTATGACTCTGAAGAACAGGGTTCCAATCCCTGCTGAGCTATGGAAACTGAGGGCCTTTGCAGACTGCCAGAAATAGAGCACATTAAATTGAGGCACTGCCCTGGCTCAGTGCTAGGGAGTCATGGGAACTGTAATTTATTGTGGCACCAGAGCTCTCTAACAGAGAAGGCTCAATGTCCCAGAAAAAAATACAATTCCCATGACTCCCTAGCACTGAGCCAGGGCAGTGCCTCAATTTAATGTGCACTATTTCTGGCAGTCTGCTTAGGCCCTGACTGGGTGACCTTGGGCAAGTCTCACTCTCTCAGCCAAGGAAGGCAAAGGCAACCACCCCTGAACAAATCTGACCAAGAAAACCCCATGTGTCATTGAGAGTTCAGCTTCTGAAGACATAATAGACCTATTACAGCTGTGTCTTCTTCCAGCTCAGTCTGACAACCACCTGGGTGATCCAGAACAAGAAGTAGGAGAGATAGTTCCTGATCCTTGGGAAAGGCAGCTACAGAGTGTGGCACAAATACAGTCCCTCCCCTGCTGATGAAGTGAGAGGTTGTGTGCATGCAGCAGGGAAACACCCTCTTGAAATACAGCTTGCAAATTGGGGGAGGCTGAGTCACTAGACTTGATAAGTCGAGGGCCTTTCTGCTGTTCAGTTGCTAAAAACAAGCTTGTTTTCTCTCTCAGCCTGCCTCTACTGTGAGATCTGATTCTGTGGCTTACAATCCCGGATGATGGTTTGTTTGTTTTTACTTCATTATCTTGCTACTTGTGGACTTTTCTTGGATTTACAGTTTCTGACCCTGGACTATTTGTCATTGGAGACTGCTTGTTCCTTCAGCTACTGCAACATTGGCACTTGGCATTCTCTGACAGCTTGGGAGCAGGACACCGTGATAGATGCATCTTAGAGTTGAAAATGACATGATGACTCAACAACAACAATATACCAGCAGCAGATCAAGGGGCACTATACAGTTTTTAAAGTTGGAACTAACACCCAAAACAAAATCTTCACCAGGTGCCCAAAAGACCACAGTGTAGTTGCTATATAAGTCTCTTTGTGGAGGGCAATCCACAACTAGGGTGCCACCACTAAAAATGCCACATTCTTAGACCCCTCATTTAATGGAAGTTCTCAGAGAAGGGCCTATGAAAATTATTGTTAGCATGAACCAATGTCATTGAGGGCTCTGAATGTTATCTGTCATTTTTAATTGGGCCCCGAAGCAACTACACATCACAAAACAGTGGCATAATATGTTAGTATAGGTCAGCCCCTGTTAGCAAGTGTACTGCTCTGTTCAGAACTAGCAGATGTTTCCAGATCATTTTCAAAGACAGACCCATGTGTAATCCACCACAGTAGTACAAACAAAGGATTATCAGATCTTGGGTAACTTGCAACTAAGCTATCTCTGTCTAGAGAGATCAGTGGTGAACAAAGTGTGGTTGCTATTGGAGGAATGTGATTCCAGATCACATTTTGAATCCCCCAGGCTTCAAGAAGAAATACAATTTAAAATGCTGCCATGGAAAATTGGTGGCATGATCTGTTACCAAAAATTGGTAGCACAAAAGGAGAACTTTTTGGAGCATTAGAACTGGGCTAAGTGCAAAACTGGGGAGACATAGGGAATGTACATCCCTTGCTTGTGCACTGCAAGTTGTATCACATCAGCATCTGTTCCACACAGCCCAAGAGCAGCAGCAGATAAGAAAGGAGACCAGCTGAGAGTTCCAGGGTGTTTATGAGGGGAATGTTGTTCTTTCGCATGTGGGTGCATGCTGTCTCAGCAATATGTGTGAGCACATCAGCAACTGCAATTACCCAGGAAAATTGGGAGGGCAGCAGTACTAACTTCATCAGCTGCTTTTAGCCTTGCTAACAGAAATTGTTTTATTTCTTTTTATCTTTTAAAACAAATGCACACAGTGCTCTGCCTAATAGGGTCATCACAAGATACTCAGTGCCACTGAAGTAATGTATGGCTCAAGTAAAGGATGCAAGAGCGTGCCTAAAAAAACAACAACCCTCTGCAGTGGTGTCCCTTTGGTTGGTGTCACCTGGTGCAGGGGGGAGGCAAACTGCCTGCCCTCACCCACCCAGCTGCACCCCCCCAGACTTCCCTCACAGGTGCCAGCAGGGCTGCCTCACCAGATTGTGAAGGCTCCTCCCACAAAGGCCTTCCCTCACAGGCATTGGCAGGGAGAGCCTCCCTGGCTGGGTGCAGTCTATCTTGATAGGGCAGGAAAAGACCTCCATCCTCCTGTTTCACCCGTCTTGGCTGCCCCTTGGCTGGGCTATCTCCCTCTGCCCAGCCGCTCCCCTGTTGGGCATTTCCTTAGCACTAGCAATAGCAGCTTCATTTATATACCGCTTCATACCAGACTAGGCAGTCTCTAAATCAGGGGTCCCCAAACTACAGCCTGGGGGCTGAACCCAGCCCATCGAGGCCTTTGGACCAGCCCGCAGCCAATCCTGCCACCACCGCCGCATGATGCGGGGAGCCATTTTGTGTTCCAAAATGGTGCCTGCCATTGTGCACGCATGCACACAACTCTGGGCACCATTTTGGAACACAAAACGGTGCCGGAGTAGTGCACATGCATGCGCGATGCTGGGCCCCATTTTGTGTTCCAAAATGGCACCCAGAGTCATGCGCACATGCCCGGTGTTGCGCACGCATACACACAACTCCAGGTGCCATTTTGGAACACAAAATGGCACCTGACGTTGCGTGCGCATGCGCACTACTCAGGTGCCATTTTGTGTTCCAAAATGGCGCACGACTCCAGGCACCATTTTGGAACACAAAATAGTGACTGAGTAGTGCGCATGTGCGTGCCTCTGGCCCTCCTAAGAGCTGGGGGCCAGCGAACCGGACCCCGGCTCAAAAAGTGTGGGGACTCCTGCTCTAAATGGTTTACAACTGTAAGCTAATTTCCCCCAACAAGCTGGGTACTCATTTTAGCAACCTCGGAAGGATGCTAGGCTGAGTCAACCCTGAGCCCTGGCTGGGATTGAACCCATAACCTTGTGGTTTGTGAGTGAGTGATTGCAGTCCCAGCATTTAACCACTGCACCACCAGGGCTTTCCTTACTGCTGTGGCCACTGGCCATGGGCCAATTGCATGCAGCCTCCCTTGGATAGGCCCACTGCAGCTTCCTACTCTTCTCCTCCAGCTGCTGTCCAGATGCTTCCTCCTCCATGCACTTCGGCTCTTGCAATGGGGCAATGCCTCAGCCCTTGTAGGTCTATTTGGGCTTTGGTGTGGTTGCAGCCACCCAGAGACCAGAGGGAACAGTGTGGAGGTCCGTTAGGACTCTGGTGTCACTGCAGCCACTCTGGAGCCCAAAATGGGAGGCACTGCACCCCTAATACCCCACACTGCTGGAGAAGGCAGTCTTAGTCCCAGAAGTCCATTTGGGTTCTGCTGTGGCTGCTGGGCAAGTGAAAAAGCAATGCAACACCCTTTCTTATTCACCCAGCATCCCTGCCAGTTTTACCAGGTATACTGCCGCATTGGATGACACCCCTCTGTGGGGTGTCACCTGGTGTGATCCGCATCTCTGCACCCTCTGTAGTGACACCATTGCCCCTCTAAAAATCTGATCCTTGAGTGCAAGCTCTCTCCCTGGAACAGGTTTAAAATCACTCATATGGTCAAACTGATCCACTATCAGCACTTCCATCTAAGCATTGCCAAAGTTTATTGGTCCTCATCCAATCCATTTACTTCCCCACTCAGGACACCCACTAGTTCACACAGATTTGATTAAAGGGAAATATAAAAGTGAATGTCTGCCGCACTTTGTTGACACTGCAATCCACATCTCTGGATAGTCTCTTCTAGTGGTTTCATTTAGATGTCGAAAAGCCAATGTTGTTCTTTTTAAAAGCACTCTGGAACTCCATAGTATAACTGCTAAGGAATTGAGTAGTAATCCTCCTGCACCACCTTCTCAAAACAGCCACCTCAATAGGAGCAGAACCACCATGATACAATATCTCTAACACCTAATTCAGATAAACTTATCTAAAAGCATACATGTTGCATCAAAAACTGCTGAGAAATCTATGAGAACATACAAGATCATACTTTCCCTGCCCCATCTTAATGAAGGCTAGGGAACTTCCCACTCCTAAACCAGGTCAAGTCCTGAGTAAAATGAATCTAGATGACCAGTTTCATTCAAGAGAGAATAGAGTTGGATTTCAATCATCTGCTCAGGCAATTTGCCTACAAATTAGATGCTGGCAACTGACCCATAGTTGTTGACGTCTTCCAAGCTGAGGTTAGGATTCTTCAAAACTGGCTTCTTAACCACTTCTTTAAAGAGTTCTACCTCCCCTCTTGAGAGGACTTTATCACCTCTTGGGTTTAGCTGAACCAACCACCCACCCCTATTAGATTTTAACAGTCATAAATGGCCAAGTTCAAGCATACCAGTGGTCAGTCAAAGTTGACCAAGAACTTTGTACGTATGCCAGGGCTTCTGCAATTGAAATTGAGCCAATAAAAGAATTTTGGCCATAATATTTGAATGAGTCAGTGGGAAAATATTTGGAAAAGAGAGTAAAATATACCTGCTCATATAGTCTTAAAGAAAATCTATATATAATGATGTACAAATGGTACATCATCACTCCAGAGAAATTGGGCAAAATATATAAAGGAGTCAGCAATATATGCTGGAAATGTGGAAAGCAAATTGGATCATTCTTTCATTTGTAGTGGATCTGTAAAAAGGATAAGAAATTTTGGCTTAAGGTAAGTAAATGAGCACAAAGGATATTAGGATTTAAAATGACTCTGAAACCAGAAGTATTTTTGTTAAATATTCTAGAAAATAGGATAAAAGAGGAAAGAAATACTTAATCTAATTAGATAAATTGTAATAGCAACTAGAGGGGTATTTAGTTTTTCTAGTTTCTAGTTTAGTATTTCTAGTTTATACTGTTGCTTAGTTTATACTACAAAAGTATGTAGCTCAAGAACCAGCCCTTTGTCACCACCTCTCTGTGACCCTGATAATAAATAAATATCCCAAAGAGATATCTTAGACAAGTAGCCCAAACAGAAGCTCCCCAGCATAAGAAACCAGATATACCAGGTTGGTCTGGATAGCTCAGCATGGGAGAAGCCCAAGGCACTCAGCCATGATGTGATCTCTCAGGATTGGAATCAGCATAATCCCTATGCTATGGAAAGGTGGTAGTGTGGTTGTTACTGTATATCACACCCCATTCTTCTCCTCTGGGAAAGTTGTTTAAGCCCATCAACTTCTAATGTCCTGCTCTTAGGAGCTATTTCTGGGTATACATGCCTTGGCACCAGGAAATTGGTCTAGTCTGAAATCAAACAGAACCTCTGTCCAGTTTTAATTTGGCATCTCAGTAGGCTGGTCACCTCACATGGTGAAAACAATGAAAATAATCCAATAAAACTAAGCAGTTGATTTTCTGGAGTCCTCTACTAATGCAGTTATTTTAGCTATGGAGTCTGTTACGAAGCTTATTGTCAAAGTGATTCATACACACACATCATCTGTTCTAGACTGTGAAAGCTATGAACCAGTCAGACACCAAGAAGGTGCATGGTATCCTCTTTCTTCGTCACCATTTAGAACTACAGAATAGGTTTGAGTAACAAAGTCTTTGTCTAGCCATATTCTAGTCATCTATCACTGTGGCTTGTTGTTACTTGTCTCCTGGAAAAGAAGGAAATAAGTGGCATCTTGTAATCCACTACCACTGGAGGAGAGCTAACCCAATATATGTCTAGTACCCTGTTTATCATTCCCAGAGGACCCTTACTATTCAGCCTCTGAGAAAAAGGTTCCCAAGTAGAAAGTTCAGCAGGGAACAAGCACAGAAAGGTATCAAGAAATAGCCATGTCTTTAGGATATAATTCTGCAGGAAGGTTTCATGGACCAACCTCCATACTTATAAAGGAAATTACACCACTTTCTTCAGATTCGGAGGTCTCCAGTTATGGAAATACCACCATGCCACTGCCACTTCTATAGGCTGAGACTGTTAAAAGAAACCAAACCCCTTTAAAGGAGAAGGCCTTAGTCATTATGGAAGTGGGGCTTGCTATCCTAAAGTAAGTCAGAACCATTCTTAAGACTTAACATCTGCTAATGTTACAATAACATTTAGGCCCAAAGCAGATGGGCCAAAAGGAGCAGCTTCTAGATGCTTCAGAGATGTGGTATGCCAATGACACATGCCCCTGGAGTGGCCAAAAGCAACTCTGAGGCTGCCTAGGGTGGCCTGAAGCCATCAGCAAAAGGAGTGGCAAAACCTGCTCCTGCTGGTGGCTCATTTGGGACAGCCTGCATTGAGAGCAGGCTGTGTGGTCACTGCAGTCCCAGGCCAATTGTGGCCTGATCACAGCTGGAGTGGCTGGAAGCCACCCCTAGCTGCTCCTCTGTTTCATCCCATAGATGATCTTGTTTGATTCCACCATTACCTGGAACTGTTCCAGGTGCTAGTCTATGATGGTCCCTATCTCCCTGAGAAATGTGCCAAATCCAGGCCAATTTGTGGGGACGGGGAGGAGTCAGGCTGTGTGGTACTCCAGTGCATCTTGTCACTCTGGCCTCCAACACTCCTTGTCATGGCTCCCTACCTACCCCAACATCTACTACCTCAGACAGCTTACCTCATAGTAGTAAAGCCAGCACTGTAGGAGGCACACAGAAAGTAGCTCATATTTGGCTAACATATTTGGTAGAATCAAGGCTAATGTTACCCCAAATGTTAAGGTCCCATGAGGCCACCCACAATTACTATTCAAATAGGGAAATGTTATTTGCTCAATTAAAATCAGCCGAGAGGGCTCAAAGTGGGGAGAAGGGTCAAACCTATGTATTCCGATTCTGACAAACACAACTCCAGAGTGCAAGTTCCAAAATAATTTTATTTTATTAATCAAAGGTAATTACCATCCATGCAAAGAGACTCACTCATGCACACATTCAAGGACTAATGAAATGAAAGATGGCAGCAAATAACAATTTGAGGAGTTGCAGAGGGTGATACTGTACTGATTCCAGATGTGGAGCTCCAGTTGGGGGCTATTGGGAAGAGAAGTGGTTCAGCAAGCTGCCTTAGGATCATGACAATGCTGAGGAGTCAAGCAAGATATGGACAGAGTGTCTGTCTGACCTCAAGAAAAACCAAATTATGGGTGTCTAAGTAGGCATATTTATAGGGCAAAACCTGTCCCAGGTCAGCATTAGGATTAAGGGCTAGCTTCCCTTACAAGAGTGAGAAGGGAAATTGTGAATGGCTGGACAATCAGTGCAAATATCCATGGACAAAGAAGTATCACTTCATAGAGAAGTGTACGTGGATTTCTATTGACTTGCAAGCACAAGCTTTATTACGCTCCATCACTGTTATCAGTGAAGGGATTATGCAGATTCCAGTCTTGACCAATCTGTCCTTGAGCTCCCCCATGCTGAGCCTCCCAGATCCCCTTATATGGCAAGACTATTTTCCTGCACTGGGGTGCCCTTGCAGCCATATGCTCTAAACATCCCTTTTAATATGATCTTGATATAAAAAGGGGGGGTACAGGGAGGCTAGACCATGGGGTAACACCAAGAACACATTCAGAACCTTCTCTAGCTAAGATAATAGAATCATAGAATCATAAGTTGGAAGAGACCACAAGTGCCATCTAGTCCACCCCCCTGCCATGCAGGAACTCAAAATCAAACCATCCCTGACAGATGGACATCCAGCCTCTGTTTAAAGACCTCCAAAGAAGGAGACTCCACCACACTCTGAGGAAATGTGTTCCATTGTCGAACAGCTCTCACTGTCAGGAAGTGCCTCATAATGTTGAGCTGGAATCTCTTTTCCTGTAGCTTGTAGACATTGCTCTGGGTCCTATTCTCTGGAGCAGCAGAAAACAAGCTAGCACCCTCCTCAATATGACATCCCTTCAAATATTTAATCAGGGCTATCATATCCCCTCTTAACCACCTCTTCTCCAGGCTAAACATACCCAGTTCCCTAAGTCGTTCCACATAGAGCATGGTTTCCAGACCCTTCCCCATTTTAGTCACCCTCCT